CATGTATTATACCTACATATGTTATAAACACAACAGATTGTTGTATGCCTTTGGTCAATTTCCAGAGAGCAGAAATGGTTGTTTTTGTCAATTGTTTCCAGTGTTATAGTTAACACTTTATACAATGTTATGTCTTTTAAGCAAGAAAAGAGAAAAAAATAGTCTTTTATATTAACCCACATATTTACCATTTCCAGCACTCTTTATTTCTTTCTGTGAATCTAAGTTACTAATAGATCATTTCCTTTTCAGCCTGAAGAACTGGCAGGTCTGCCAGCACCAGATTCTCTCAGTCTTTCGTTTATCTGAAAATGTCTTTTTCGTCTTCACTTCTGAAAAACTTTTGCTAGATGTATAGAATTCTAGATTTACAGTTTTCTTCTTTGACTCCCTTTTGGTTCCCATTGTCTCAGGTGAGAAGTCAGCTGTTAATCATATTAATGCTCCTCTGTATGTGATGTTTATTTTTCTCTTGCTACTTTCAAGATTTCCTTTTTTTTGGCTTGCAATAGTTTGACTATCATGTATCTAGGTACAGATCTCTTCGTATTCACGCTACTTGAGTTCTGTTGAGCTTCTCCTCAAAAAACGTCTTTGGCCATTTTTTTCTTCAAATACTTTTTCTGTCTTACCCCAAACATGACTGCAATCTTGGGCTAATAGAACCATTGTCCCTCCCCACCTGCCCATCTTCAAGACTGTTACTTCAACCAAGAAGGCAACAGGCAGGGCTGCTACTCTAAATTGAGTGAGCCCTTCTCAACCCTGTGGAGAAGCTGTTGGTCCTCACAGCTTGCATCAACCAGGCAGCACCTCCCTACCAACAGAACTGAGGAGCCCCAGGCCAGATGCCACTGATTCTCACTGTTCTCACCTAAAGGTCAACAGTTTCTTATTTTTTTTATTTTTATTTTTTTGTGTGTGAGGAAGATCAGCCCTGTGCTAACATCTGCCAATCCTCCTCTTTTTTTGCTGAGGAAGACTGGCCCTGGGCTAACATCCGTGCCCATCTTCCTCCACTTTGTATGGGACGCTGCTACAGCATGGCTTCCAAGCGGCGCGTCGGTGCGTGCCCGGGATCCGAACCAGCGAACCCTGGGCCGCCGCAGCAGAGCGCACACACTTAACTGCTTGCACCACCAGGCCGGTCCCTCAACAGTTTCTCTAGCACAAATACTTCTCAGATTGTTATATGCCTCTGGTCAATTTCCAGAGTGCTGAAATGGTTGATTTTTTTTTGGTCACTTCTACCTGCTTTATAGTTGTTTTTTAGGGGAAAGGATTTGACAATCTCTCCTCACTCAACCACTGCTGGAAGCTGCCCTCCAGTATTGCTTTATTTTGAAAATAAAACACAATACACATTGGGAGACTAAGTCAGAGAAACTGCCAAAGAGAAATAAGAAGGGGGATTGTAGAGAGGGAGAGAACCAATCCCTACACTTTATCTGCCTCTGAAATGAAAAAGACATTTTCAGATAAACAAAAGACTGAGAGAATCTGTTGTTGGCAGACCTGGCAGTTCTTCAGGCTGAAAGGCTCCAAATCACCCCAATGTAGTAAAATAAAATTAGATCTTGGTGATTTCAACTCACCAGCCACTTCCTTAAAGAAAAAGGAAATTCTCTCTCCTAGAAGCCACCAGAAACTCCCTCTAATCTTCAACACGCTCAAACTAGGTCATAAGATAAGAATGAGACAGCATGAAAGAAAATGAGGCAGTTTTTAAAAAGAGCCAAATAGAAATTCTAGAACCAGAATACTATACAGCAGTGAAAATTAATTAATTACTGCTAAACTCAACATTTGTAAAGCCCACAAACATTATGTTGAATGAAAGCAAGCAAAAGGTACAGACTAAATAATTCCATTTATTTAAAGTACAAAAAAACAAGAAAAACTAATCAATGCTGTTAGAAACAATGCCGTTAGAAGTCAAGAAAGTGGTAACCTTGGAGGGTAGTGACAACAAGTGGGCACAAGGGGGTCTTGGGAGTGCTACTAACGTCATTTCTTGATTTGAGCTACAAGGATGTGTTCAGTTTGTAAAACGTATCAAGTGGCACATGTGTATACTTTTCATTATATATGTTATACCTCAATTAAAAAGGTAAAAAAGAAACATAAAATTGTTTTGGCACAATTTAAAATTGGCATGTTGGTCTCATAAGACTCAGTGAGCCTGAAGCCTCTTTGCTTCAGCCAACCTAAACTGTGACTAGAAACAGCTGTGCCTTTTGATCCGCCCTATGGGGGATTTCACACCAACCTGGGAAACCAATGGAGCAACCATGCCAAGCTATAGGGAGTTTCCCAAGAGATGTCCCAAGCCAAACAACAAGGCTCCAAAGACTGCCTGTTTCTAACACAGAAACCAGGGCCACTCACTCTGGAATGGATTACAGGTTTAGAATGGCTCTGGGGGCCAGCCCGGTGGCGCAAGCAGTTAAGTGTGCGCGCTCTGCTGCGGCGGCCAGGGGTTCGCCGGTTCAGATCCCGGGTGCGCGGCGACGCACTGCTTGTCGAGCCATGCTGTGGTGGTGTCCCATATAAAGTAGAGGAAGATGGGCATGGATGTTAGCCCAGGGTCAGTCTTCCTCAGAAAAAAAGAGGAGGATTGGCAGATGTTTAGCTCAGGGCCGATCTTCCTCACAAAAAAAAACAAAAAAAAAGAATGGCTCTGGGCTGGACTTGATCCTATAATTCTGTCAAAACTCACAACTGGACTTCTCCAATGAACTAGACAAAACATTCCATCTACCTAGAGAGACACTAGCTCTATATGCGACATCTCGTTTTGAGTGAAGCTAGAGACGGAAGAGTAGATGCACCAACACTTCCTCCCCTCATCACACGCCAAGCACCAGGACCAATTCTTTTTTTTTTTTTTTAAAGATTTTATTTATTTTATTTTCCCCCCAAAGCCCCAGTGGATAGTTGTATGTCGTAGCTGCACATCCCTCTAGTTGCTGTATGTGGGACTCGGCCTCAGGATGAACGGAGAAGCGGTGCCTCGATGCGCACCCGGGATCCGAACCCGGGCCACCAGCATCGCAGTGCGCGCACTTAACCACCAAGCCACAAGGCCGGCCCACCAGGACCAATTCTGATCTGTCACCCACTAACTGGCAAGGCAGAGATTATTGCCCATTTTACAAATTAAGAAGCACAGACTAAAGTCATTTGCTCAAGATCAGTCAGGGAGTGTGATTTGACTCCCACTCTGCCTGCTGGCCTCCAAAGCTGGGTTCTTTCCACACTCTCACACTGCTTCACAAATGCCCTGGGGTGTCTCTAGTCCTGTAGAAGGACCCCTGCCCCATGTGCCTGGGTTAATCTCTGTCCCCTGCTCTCTGTGTCCTTTATGAGTCATAAGGATATCATCCCCATCAACTTCAGAAAACAACGTCACATCATCTAAGTGACCTTGGGTTGGAAGCCAACGGGCACTTGGGAAAAGCCTGGGACCAAGAAGACCAGAGGCCAAATGCAGGCTCAGTTTTTGGCAACAGAAAGACCTGGGTTTCAGTGCCAGCTCTGAGGTCCTTCAACACTTAACCTCTCCCTTGCAATTCACTGGCCTGCCCTACAGGGGAGCATGGTGATTACAGGAGAATATGTATACCAGGAGCCGAGGAACACAAGAGGGACCCAGCAGATGTCTACAAACATGGATTCCTCCTTTTCCTCACCCATCTGGACATCACTTGAAAACTGCTGAGGACCGGTCAGAGGGAGGGAAAGGAGACCTGGACTTAACAATTTTATTTCTGAAACTTTAAAGAGTCCTCTGGTTTTACAACAGGGAGTGCAGAAAGTAAAGCCAGACAGAAAAGGCCTTTCTGGGTAGCAGAAACACAAAGCACACTCCCCCAGACTAAGACGCTTCCCCAATAGGACGGGGTTGGATTTTCCCATTTATCTCAAGAAGGTAAGAATCTTTCAAGCTGAGAAACGCCAGGCCAGATAATCTCGGAAGGCCTTAGGATGCTAACAGTCTGGGCTCCATAATGGATTTAACACAAAGACTGCAGGTTGGGGCAGGCCAGTCAACACTCACAAGAACCTGTGAGGAGCCCCCAGCTTCCTCAGCTCTGCACCTACCGCCCTCCACCTCCACCCCTGCAAACAGATGTGGAGGGGAGTCTGCAGGGGAGGCAGTGAGGGAGACGAGGGATGGACCAAACAAAAGGGCTGTAGGGCTGGCCAGGAGGCCGTGGCCACACCTACATGCCCATGGAACATCTGGGTGTGAACATTCTGGAGAGAATGGCTCTTGTCAGAGCTCTGAGGAGAGGGCTGACAGTAAGAGCAGAAGCTAGGCCTGAGTTTCTCTTTACAGGGAAAAAGGTTTCTGAGTGAAGAAAGGGAGTGGTACATTGAGTCTTACTACTTTCAAGCTTTTTCCTTAAGAACCTCACAAAAGCAGATCAGGAAAGTTACTCTTAAATCAATCAGTATCGACCAAGGAGAAACCAACAGAGCACACCACAGAAGACCCAAGCAGAGTGGCCCCTTCCTTTGCAATGTGCCACCTATGAGGAGCAGTGGCGCATGTGAGAGGTACCCTGGGCTGGGCTCCTGAGTCTGCCCCTAGCCAAGTGACCCAGGCAGGGCATAGCATCTCTGGCCTCCCGAGCCCCAGATCTGAAAAGCAGGGAGGCAGGACGAAACGAAAAAAGCAAATTTTCCTACAAACCAAAAGCACCCAGCTGGACGGACAGCAGGTACGTGTTTAGTGAAGACATGCTGCCAGCAGGGGAGGCAATAAGAGGATATCGCGCCCCCTCCTGTGAGATCCACACACTGTCACTGATGTCCAGGCCCCAGGGGGGAGGTCCCTTGGCCAGGACAGCACACCAACGCCAGGGCTGGAGCCCACAGCCATCTCCATGACAAACGACCAAAAGCTGCTTCCTGCAGGCGGGGGCAGTGCGGGGGCCTTGCCCCCACCTCCTTACACTCAGGCCTGTCCCCAGTTCCCAGGCTCTCCCGCTCACCTGTGTGAGGTGCGCATATCCACGGGCCCATCGCCTGCCTGCCCTTCGCCTCTGCCCATGGCCGTCGCCTCTGCTCCCCTCAGCAACCCTTGGGCTGGGCCTGCTCCCGGCTCAGGCATCACTCTTAAGTCTCCATCAGCATTTAAATCTGAAGCCAACAATCCTCTCTCCATTTTTATTTTCTTGCTCTCCACATCATCCTCTGCCGGGTCCCGTTCAAGTGCTCGTTTCTGACTCCGTGTTCGGCATGCTTCTTCAGTCATTCTGAACTTCGGGGGAAGGAGAAAGCAAAACATTTAAACTTGGCACAACAAATTTGCTACCTTCCTAGAAACTTTTCAAAGTGTCAGCTTGGTTTTCCTCGCCACACGATGACAGCAGAAGTAGGTACAACAAACAGAGGGCCCACAAAGTGTGCCCGGGACATTTCTTCACCAGGAAAGGCTGAGGCAGGAGCAGCAGAGCATCTGGGGAACCAAGCTACATGCCGCCCCATCTGGGGCCAGAGACCTGGAGGGACCTGGACAGGAATAATGGAAGGTCGCTGCTTATTAGAAAGAAGGAATTCTCTGCACTCCAGACTCAAGAGCAAATAGAGAAAAACTGTTCTAGATCTGAACTCCCTGCCTATGGAATTCTGAGCACCTGCACTGGATTGGAGGTGTCCAGAATCTGGGAAGGCAGGACTCATGCTGTCTCAGGAGCAGAGTAACTGCCCGGGTCCAGCCCTGCACTGCACTGACTTGGGCTGACCATTCTTCTCCCTTTCATTATGGGGTGGCCTCCTCACTCCCTGCTCACCTCAGGGGGGTGAGAAGTGGGGGATCACATTTAACCCTTTGACTGATGGCAAGGTAAACTCTGAGTGGGGTGAGGCCTGGCCTGTCACTGTGCCAGCACCCTGTACCTGCAGCACACACATATCTTGATTTAAAGAAAGAAAAGAAGAAAAAACAGCTGAGTCAGTTTTTGATCCCATGACATCACTAGGCTCCACATGACCCTTCCCAGGATTCAGTCTGAGAGACAAAGCACTTTCCAGAAAACCAGTCTGAACCGGTTCCAGACAACAAGCTGAAGTGCTGTTAACCCTCACAGAGACAGGACAGACGACAGCCAGCGCAGTGATGTCTGTCTGCAGGGAGGCTGCTGACATTCCACAACAGTCTGGGACACTGGAGCTTGCTCTTAAAGGGGCCGCTCAGAACCCAGCCTGGATGTTCCAAAGGGGCAGGACATGGGAAATGAGACTGCAAGCGTCAGCGTCTAAAAAGCCATGCAAGAGTACACCAGGGGATGAAAAAGCACTTAGCTGCCAGGCTCTAGTAGAATTCCCAAAGTGTCAGTTCTCTACAAGACAGTCGGTGCCCACGTCCACCAACACAGGGCCCAGGCAGAAGCACACCATGAGCCCCTCAGAGAATCCCAATTCACACCTGTGGCGTGCCTACACTGAAGGCCTCCCAGCTCTGTGCCCATGCAGGTAGGGCACCCGGAGCCTCAGTTTCCTCACTAGCAAACACCCTAGGAGGCCTATCCTGGGCAGACCCAGTACTGGAGCCCACTTTCTGGGAGGCTAGGGGCAGCACAGGGCAACCAAGGGGCCACCTCATCATATATGGGACGTGCTCCTGAACTAACTCACTCGCAACCTCCTTAAAGGAGCTGATTTCCCAAATGACTAACAGTGCAGGGCCCTGCCCCACTGAGCCCTTCCGTGGACTTAGACTGAAAGGAAGGAGAGTGACAGCTGCTTTGTGTTCCTGGTGTGGGAGGCAGAGCAGCCCTTCTGCACATGTATTAGCCCAGTGTGGCCCAGCCAGGGCACTCAGACATCTGTTCCTACAATCAGCCCCAAAGGGTTGAACTGAGCAGGTCTTCTCATGGCCATGTCACCCATGGGGTGCTCCCCACCCTCTCTTGATGGAGGGTGGGGCCTGAGAATTCTAAAGCGCGAAGGCATGAGCTATCGACTAGGTCTCCATCTGCCTCCAACCCCTCCTGGTGTCCCGGCCTGCACCTGCTGCCCATCCCCTCCCAACTGCTCAGCCCCAGTCACCCCCTAAACAACCTTCCAACCCTCTGTTCTCGCCCAGATCTCCCCATCCCCTCCTCCACTTCCCTACGTGGAGGTCGTCTCCTTACTGCCCCAGAGGGAAGCAAAGGATGCTCCCATGTCCCTCTTAGCGTAAAGTTCTACAGCTTCTGTCCTTCTCAAACATGCCTTGACCACAAACCATGTCAGCTTGCTCAGTGAGCCTGTCCATTCTATCTCCCTGTGAGACTGCAGACAAGCCAATGCCCTGAGTGTTAGTCACCCTCCCTTCTCCCTCCTTGTCGGAGGGGTGGGTCATCTTTCCTTGGGCTTTGCCTGAAACAGGAGCTCCTTGAACGGTTAGGGAATTGGATGAGAGGAGCGATTTTGGCAGCCACCTTGGATGGCAGGGATGTGTACTCCCAGAACTGGGGAGGCGCCTGTCAGGGTGGAAGACGAAGGGAGACCAGGACCTCAGGCAAGGAGAGCCCGAACTAGAGTTGGAGGAAATTCTGTCTTTAAGGGAGAAGCTCCCAGTCTGGCCTGGTGACCACTGGGAGAAACAGGGGTCCGAGGTAGACAGGGAGAATATACCCCCATCAAACAACACTGTGCCCCTAATCCTGCACAGACTCCCCCATGCTTCCCCACTCCGCCTCTGATGCTGCCCGGCGGCCCCACCCCCCAGCGCAGCCTCCAGCCTTGTAAATCCCAGGCTCCAATCCATGAAGCCCATCCGAACGCCAGACCTTGCATGAAGTCCTTCCTCCCAACTGCCCACATGGATAAGAGGAGCAAAGACTACGAGGTTGCTGTGTGCCAGGTCACCAGACCCATGAGGTGGTGCCCGAGTGACCTCACTTGATCGTCACTGGTGTAGGACAAGCAGTCATGAGGGGCCAAAGCAGAGCCTCACACCCACAGGGCCGCTCCCTCCAGTCCCAGCGACCACCCCAGGCCACAGGGCCCTCATGGAGCCCCAGTTCTGGGAGCTGGTCAGGGTCCCCAAAGAGGGCCCAGGAGACAGCCCGCCTGCTTGTGCTGTGTGTGCAGTGTCAAGGCAGCTCACTCTGAAGCTGAGGGGCTGGAACTCTGCCAACCCTGGGCCCAGAACCAATGGCCAGCCTGGCTGCACACAAACACACGCCCTGCACCTATGGTAGGCCACTCTGGGGGTACCTGCCGCACCCTTCTCCCACCACAGGAAGGACAAGCACAGCAGTAGGGGGGCGGGGCCAGCCATGGGGGATAGCACCTTGGGCTCTGACTTCCCCGGCTTGGATGGAGCCTCCTCCAGAGAGGAGGTTGCCTTAGCGCCCATGTGGAGCCTGCTACTAACCAATCCCCAGCACCAAGGGGCATCTGCTCCTGGGGAGGGCAGGTGCTGGAAAGGAGCAGCTCCTCCCTTCTCTCCACAGGAAGGACCTGTGCCCCCAGCCCATTAGGGCTGGTGGCTACCGCCCTGCAGGCACAGGCCCAGGAACAGCGACAACTTTGTGGAGAAGAAACCAGCCTTGAGGAATGAAGCATGACCCACGATTTCTGCAAAAAGCAGTGAAAAGTATTTCTGCAAAAAGCAATGAGGAGGGGCATTAGAATACTTTCTAAAGAACAGGTGAAGAGGCTAGATGACCTCGACCAGCAAATTAGGAACTGCTTCAAAATTCGTGGTGGGTGAGGCAAGGAGAACGAAGGGAAAGCAGTGACGACAGCAGAAGTTCCAGCACACGCCCGCCGAGGAACTGCTGGCCCAGAGAGCAGCTCCCTCTTACAAAGGCGGGATCCCACGGTGGCTGCTGCCTGCAGGACAGATCTGACAGCAGCATGCCCACTGGAAGGATGAGGCCACCAGGGCCGCAAGGCCGCCTGAGGCACAGCCTGCTGGCTACAGAGGAGCAGGGCTAGAACCCAGGCAGCCTCAGCCCCTCCTCACTCTCTTCAAACACAACCAAGACACAGCCCAGGTTTCCTCAGCTCCAAGAAGGGCAGGTTCCAGCCACACTAGAGGCTACACAGGCACAGCACAGACCAACCCCAGGACAATGGGGCCACTGAGTCCTGGGCAGAATGCTGATGGAAGCCTTTGGGTCAGATGCAAATTTCAATAGCCTCTACCAAAAGCTCCTTTATTTTAGTAAAATGCCACCGTCCACTTGTCTGAGAACCTCAGGAGGAAAACCTGTTCTAAAACAACTCCAAAAGGATGAATTATGCTGTAGCAGGAAACAGAATTTCTAAAAAAGACTCGGGAGACCAACAGAAAGCACCCCACACAGGCCAGGCCGATGAGGCCAGTAAACATCTCTCCATAATTAAAACAAAGGGGGGGGGGGGAGAGTAAACAGACACAAGTCAGAACCAGAACCCTGAGGCATCATCATTAATACTACTGGTACTAGGAAATGATACTTACACTACTCTGTGATTAACAGATGAGCAGGAACACTACTAGTTATACTCCTGTTTCAGGCTTGAGGAAAGTGAAGCTTCACAATATGTGCTTGGGAGAAGTGACAGAGCCAATGCTCTGAAAGTGGACTTTGGGGCGCTTTTTCCAGAGCCCAGAGAACGGAGCGAGCAAGACGAGGTGGGGGAAGGAGGATGCTGAGGGTGGCCTGACCTCAGGGGGAACATGGAGTGGTGGAGGGGTGGGGGATGCAATGTGTTCTGAATGATCACCTGATTCACTTGGGGGCAGACTGGGGCGGGGGTGGCAGGAGGAGCAGTCAGGGGGCTTCTGTATCTTGTGGCTCAGAAAGGGAAGGAGACAGAGCAGTGCAGAGATAGGAACATATGCTGGGTGTACTTTAGAGGATACAGAAAACAACATGCCAACAGCTGGACGTGAGGCGAGAGAGGGTTGCTTTGTTTTGTTTGTTTTGGCCTGAGCAACTGGAAAGACGGAATTGATTTTCTGAGTTAAGGAGCAGATCTGGGGGAAGAAGGCTGGGAGTGGGGTAGTTTGGACATGCTGAGTGTGAGCCGTCTACTAGACCCACACAGAGAGGCTGAGAAGAGTATGCTGACAGGTGGAGGCCTGCACATGGGGCAGCCACTGTCCTCAGGGTGGTGCGGAGCACCCTTTCCTGTCAGGAAGGAAGAAGGGCCTGTGAAGCAACAGACGCCAAGCTGGGTGACAACAGGGTCCAGACCCTGGCCTCACTAGCCACTGGCCAAGCAGCTCCCTGGGCCTGCAGCCAGGCGCCCATGGCCACAGCAACCCCCACCCCCAAGCA